GTGCCCGATCAAGATGATTTTGCGATGCCGTATCAAGATTTAATACATTTTTATTAATTTTAATATTTAATTTTAATTACATTTTATAATTACTGATATATTAAATAATTTTAAGTCAAACATTTATTTAAGGAGCTTACAATTATTCTTCATCATCCCAACTACTACAAGGAGTTCCTTATAAAATTCTTGATCAAATTAGGTTGAGTGTCAACAAAGCATTGGATGCTTAATTATGAGACAAAATAGTGAACATGAAGCCATGACTGTTGATGGGGCCTCCACATTATGAATATTTATTTCTATATGTTGATGGATGCCAATAATGGACAACAAAGTTTCTCCACAAATGCCACCAAGTCCACATGTGAAGAGACATGCATGAAGGGCATGTCTACCAAACAATTGGCCAAGTTTTGTTTGGCTTCTCTCTATGGGTCTTTTCACATAGTATCATTTTTCACATAAAATCATGATCGACTAGTCATCTATGTCTATTGCTATATAGGTGCTCATGTATGTTTCCAATATTTAATTTTTCTTAGAAAGTTGAAATTATATATTAAAGAAACTCGAAATGACATAGAGATCCGACAAAATATGATTCAAAGTATTGAATTTATGGATATAAAAATTATACAAAGTTTATTTTAGTTAGCCGTTGAATCAATCAAATTAATAGGCCCAAGCAAACTGGCCTATGGGTAAGAAGATGAATATGATTACATAATATTTATCGTAGAACCAACCCTCCTTGAAAGAATTATACCAATTTTGTTAATCTTGCTTTAAATTATATTTGTAAATCTTAACAACAAATTTTTTATATGTTAGTGTGAATGCATTTATGATGTTAAGATTTCTAATGTGAGACATTTGAATAATTAATCAAAGATATTACTAATGATGGACCACCACGAAACATTGTTTTCATATCACTTATATTTGAACATGCATATTATATAATCAATTTATGAGGCCAGCTAGCTAAGTTAGCTCAAGGTCATAGTGATGGCTAAATTCAAAATCATCTTGATGCATGGTGCCATGCATCTCTGCTAGTCGCATGTTTTCTTCGACATCTTAAGCACATTAACTTTTGAGCATTCACCTGTTGACCTTGTACTAAATACTTACTGAGTTATTGGCTATAACAGTGAGTAATTTTTTATACTCAATATCAATTTATTTAGTCATTCATCTTATATTCAATTGAATTTCATTTTAGAATATTCATTAGAGATTTCTTGGATTTCCTCTTAACTTTTTCTCTAAGTACAGCATGCAAATTCTTCTAAGGATCCTATTTATCAAAATCAAACTCCACTTTGTAATATTATCATAATCAAACTCCACTTTGGCAAATTGGCTCATGTTATTTTGAGGTGATGGATCTGTCTTTTGCTGGCATTCCTTTTTGGCTGATCGGGGGCCTTATTAATGTGTTTCTGCTTTGATTTTGTTTCACTAATAGGGTGGGTGTTCTGTGCTGGGGTTGTTTGTTTTGCTTGATTATTTGGCCCATTTTGATTGTTATTATTGATTGGCCTGATTGTGACTTAACCAACTATTCCTGTTTCGATTGCTGGTGGATTTCTATTACTCTAAAATTTTCTAATCTCTTGGGGTTTTTAAATATCTTTGGTGGTGCTAGTGATACTAGAAATCTTGATTATGGTTACATTCGAAATTACTTTATATGGATCGATTATTTGACTGGTAACCATCTTTGGCCCTCTTTGGCCTATGATCTCCTGATGTATTTGGTGAATGCTGGGTTGCAGTACAAGTTTGATGTCTTTATTTCATATCATGAATGCTATTTTACTCTTTTGTACAAGCTCTTTTTTGTGCAGGTTATTTTGTTGTTTATTAGCTGGAGTTCGAGCTGGATTAGAGTCTTTTGTGGTACTCTCATTTTTTGGGTGCTCATTCTTATGCACCATAGAATGTATCTAGGTTTATATATACTTTTGCTTAGAGGGGAACTAAAGCTTTTAGGTTTTCTTTTTATTTTGAATTTTGTAGCTCTTTTGAGCCTTAGTATATAAGCTTTTATTTCCTGTAAGGATTTTGTAAATTTTGCCCTTAATTAACGCGTAGGCCCCTCTGTGGGTTTCCAAATAATAATAATAATAATGTTTATGATTTGTAAAAATAACATTGATTACTTTTTTCACCAAAAATATCGCCTCTTGAATTACCCTTGCTTTTTCAACATATTCTCCATTTGGTGACAACTTATATCTATTCTTTAACAGTTGCATTTAGTTCATAGGACGCGATGCATGCATCTTTATAGTTGTCTTTTAAGCTTCTTTGCAGCTATGAAATTAACCACACAACACCCTTGGAGATTTTTCAATTGTCTTATTAAGATTAGAGCATAATTGAACATGTTAACCAACCTTAGGAAGGCACAAAAATATCCATAAATTTCCCTTCACTATTTTAATTTCATTAACTTTAATGTAACATGTAATCTCATGTAATCATTTGCAAATTATTCAGAATGTTCCTTTCATTATAATGAATATAGGTCTCAATAGTAAACTATTATATAAATATTATTGTATTTGTGTGGCACATTATATTTTCTTATCCCTTTTAAGACAAATAGTACTTATCATTACTTGCAAGTAAATTCATACTTGAGTGGTATCCAACTCCTACATTATTATATTGATAATAGCCAAATGAAGTTTAGTATATAAAAGACATATAAAGAAAGGATGCTCATTTATAATGAGTTTAAGGCTTTGTTTGAGACGGCTTTCTTATTGCTTCTTAAAACAACTATTTATATAAAAAAAATTAATATCTGCACTAAAAATTTACTTTAAAAAGCAATAAAAAAAGTCATCCCAAATGAAGCCTAAGTGTCTTGCAAGGTTTGAAATGGTGCTTATATATTGCTAAACTTTCACTAGTATTCTTAATTTCTTATAGTAACAATCAATAAGTAGAAGGGTTTTTTCTATGAATTTAAACACCTCAATAGCTCTCCTAATTTTGTGTAGATTCTTCATCCTTTCAAATTTGCAAATTTTTTTGTATAATAAATATAATTTGCTAGCTTATTTATATGAGTTTCTTGCATAACCCTCTTAGATTTTTTTTTTTCTTCTTGTCCTATGAAACATTAATATAAATACTAATCAACACTTATAAGTTAACCCTCACTTATACCTCCTATAAGATAGCTAGCCAAGGCTTGGTCCTTCTAATTGTAATCCAATTTGATAAGTGTCCTAAGTACTCATCAAAACTATCCATATGTTAAGTCGAATGGCTCACTTATCTGAGGATAATATATGAACACTTTTATGTACATAGATGCTTACTCCATAAAAATGTTAAATCTCTCTGATAAGACGTACGCTCAACCTTCTTGAAAAATATATATGAATTTACTCCAAAGAAAGGATTATGAAAGGGATGAAGCCATGTAGGGTGAATAAAACTAATCTTTTTCATTGCATTGTGGCCAAAACAGCACTATGATGATAAATTTGCATGAATTCACTAATATATTCTCATAAATAAAGATTTTTTTCAATTAATGCTATGATGATGATATTCAACTATATTGTTTGATATGATAACTCTTTTTAAATTCTAATTTCATTTGAATAGTGAAATCCTAGACTTCATTTGGGACATCTGTTTTACTACTTTGCTTTTCAAAATTCAACCATAATTTTTATTGGTTACACTTTTTTGCTACTTTTCAAAAAAAATTGTTCTAAAACGTTATTTTATACAACAACTTTCAAAAAAATTATTTTCCCCACAACAATTTTATAACCATATTTATGAAAAGTTTCAGACATCCATATATATATATATATATTAGTGGGCAAAAAGTATTTTATTTCCTATTTTGACATATTGAAAAAATTCAACAATCCTATCTCTATCATTAACATATTATTATTATCTCACAAGATCTTTTGAGACGGTGCAATTAGCTACTATGGTCTCATAAATCAACTTTCTATTATAGAAATATTAAAAGATAATAATAATAAATAGTAAGAAATTAAACAACTATCAAACAAAATTATAATTAATATTTAAAATACAAAATAGAAAAAAAATTATCTCAAATAGTCTATTACTGAATAAAATATCTTTATTAAACAAGACCATTTCACACCCCCATTAATTTTTTGTCATTTCTAGCCTTTGTCCCAATATCGAAAAAATGGTTCGGATATTCAAGGAACAGAAGCATGCAGATGCTGCTTTCCGTAATTCGGCAAAACCCCAGTGGCATTTAAGCGAACTCAAAACGCCCGCTTTTATCCGCCATTGTCTGCTCGACACGTATCGTCTCCGCCAAAAGTCGGACTTTTTAAGGTTTGCAATGACGCTCGTCACCTCCAAACTGTAAAGCTCCGCGTCAAAATTGGGGAAAACAATTACGAAAAGCTAAGTCCTAATCCCGCAATTAATCCCCCTTGTTCTCTTCTATATACGTACAGAGTGATCGTGAAAGGAAAGGGAGAGAAAAAGAAAGTTGAAGGGAGAGGAGAGAGAGAGAGAGAGATGGGAAGGGGAAGAGTGGAGCTGAAGATGATTGAGAACAAGATTAACAGACAAGTGACGTTTGCGAAGAGGAGGAATGGGTTGCTGAAGAAGGCGTATGAGCTTTCAGTGCTCTGTGATGCTGAGGTTGCGCTCATCATATTCTCTAACCGCGGCCGGCTGTTCGAGTTCTGCAGTAGCTCCAGGTAATAGCGATTAGCTCCACCGATCGACTGGTGAATAGTTGTGTTGAAGTTTTTTCTTGCTGTGTTCACTTGTCTAGGGTTCTGGAAAGGGAAGTACGTGTGCTTTGCGATCATGGGGGAGTGGTGCATGGATTGCTTTGGGTTTGTGGGTTTGGGATGGAGATCTTGGTGGTGGGGGCCTCGGTAGCCTGGATCTAGGTTTTTGATTATGTAAAGTTGATTATTTGGCTGTCTCTGCAGTTTTTGTTTGTCTGGAAGATTTGGAAGGTTAGGGGTGGAGGATAATTGGATTCTTCTGACAAGACTATCTCCACTTTGTTATTTGTTGGTGCTGTAGGGTTTAAAACGGGTTTGGCAGGGCAATTTTTTTGGGTTTTTAGTGTTTATATGATTGTTTAGAGATAGGGGGACGTGAAAACGGCTGTGCAGAGATAATTCTTGGGAAGATTAATTAGTGTGCTTTGGTTTAATGGAGGATCTTCTTTTCTAAGCTTGAGAAGAAGTTCAGGCTTTTGAGCTATTATGAGGACAAGTGAACACAATATCTTTTTTTGAATTTCTCGAGGCAGTTTAGGGATTCACTTTCATCCTGACTTCGCATGCTTTTATTCAAAACAAATATTTTAATGGGAAGAACGGGATAAAATTAAAAATTTTGCTCAATTTTAAATTATCGAGACATTCAGAAGCTCAAAAAATGTAACACGATCAAAGCGAGTTTATTTAAGATCGATCTTCTAATATGGATTCTTATAGAAATGATCAAAATATCTTCTTTGAATATCTATAAATATATCTTCTTTCTATCACAATGAGGGGCAGAGTTTTGGTGGAGAGAATCTTTATATTTAGTAATGTTGAGGGCTAGAATACTTGTGGCGGTAAAGTACGAAAAACTTTTGGTCTTTGCGTTGCATGAGTATCTAGCACACAAACAGAAAAAAAAGATTCACGGGAAATTTTTACGTGGAAAATCCTGGAGAGAAAAACGATGGGGCTACACCCAGTTGAAATAATTTCACTAGTGTTTGAATATATTACAAATGACTGGTTCATCCTTGAAATTGAGGACGATCTGATTACAACAGTCAACTATTTAGTTTAAATCTAGCGACGAAAGGAGATCAGACAGAAATCCAGCGATGTTCGGAAGTCGAACAAAAATTTGGCTCCAGTTGGCAGCCGCTTGGTAGTCCGGTGATAGCTGGTGGTCTGACGGAAGTCTGATGACAGTCGGTGGCAAGGCGGAATTCCGACGTCAATCGATGGCTGGGCGGAAGTGCGGCGATAGTCCGACGACAGTCAGTGGATCGACCATGGTCAAGGAGGGAGTTTGGTGGGAAAAGAACTTTTCTCTTTTCTTTTTCTTCCATGCTTGGGTCCCTTCAATAAAGAAAGAGAGGATTATTTATACCTTTTTAGGAATGGCATGACTAATAAATAGGAGGGAGATCAAGGGTACGTTGGGAGTAGTTTGAATTGATGGCCGATATTGATCCCCTTAATCATGGATCGTTTACTGGGCATTTGAATAACTTAAAAGGGAATGATCTAGTTGATCGCCAACTATATCACCTTACTTGCGATAATCGATGTTGATCATCGCTTAATATCTAATAGTGACTTTGTCCATTAGCCACCAGTGTTTGACTTGTCGCGATTTCCCAATGTCACATATTATTAGTGAGTGACAAAGTTGATGACCCTATTGTCACTTGGTTTTCAATGTTTCTTATTGACCATTATCTAACACATATACATGACCAACAATATATGTATATTAGCCATTGAAATTTGTACCACAATAATATTTGAAGGCTATAAATAATTGATAACATATATCATTTTGGTTGCCTAAACTCGCTCTTTTGACCAAATTAATCATTCATTATCGCATGGCCTATAATATTCACTATTAAACATTGTCCAACTTTTGATGTTCTTCAGCAATCATTATTGACATCTACCAATGATTGACGTTCTATGTATGATAGCAATGTCTAATGCCTATCTTCATAGATGTTTGATCTATCCACTTGTTTGAAAAAAAAAACTAAACCAATCACTTATTATATATCACTTATCTCATGATGTTCCAAGTTGATTATTGTATGATGTTTCCCAACAATTAATCTTTGATAGTCGTTAGCTATCAAAATTTAATATTTTTTAACAACTAACATTTGACAATCATCTTCTAGATTACTCAATCTCCCTTCATATAAGGAGAACTACTAAGTTAAATACCCACCATTCTCTCGATTTTTAACCTTTACAATCGACCATCAATACTTGTTAATAAATAACATCTAATGTTCGTTATCTGTTGACATTCAATTCATACCTTACCGATTATTTGCTCTCCCATCCTACTAGAAGAATGATCAATGAAAACAGCTATCATCACTTGATTCCTAATAGTTTCATTTGACTGTTGTCCAATTCCAATGCATGAAATTGGATAACCATCTTATCAACCACCTAGGCACTCCTATTATGAGAACTATATAGTTAATTACCCATCATCACTAACTTTTGATGATTCTCCCTCAATTACCACTTGATTCTTACTAATAAGTGATGTTTGACATCTATCAGTCACTAATGCTCTATGCATAACTCCTTGGTCACTCGACATTTGATCATGCCAATGACTCATCAATGCTTGATGACAAATCCAATAAATCAAGTATCATCACATCACCATAGGTGATGTTTTCATGAATCATGCCAATTACATTGTATAAATGCTTGGTCTCTAATTATGAAGAAGTGCACATTTTATAATTATCAAATTGTACTAGTAAAATCATTTAATTGGACTAGGCTTTGCGATATATTTTTTTCTAGATTTTCCACAACAATATCACATTTGATATATGAAACCCTCAACTTATCTATTTATATGCAAATTTTCATGCAATTTTAAGTTAAAAGTTTTTTTTTCAACCATATCGATTATTTATTTTGACTTTCTAATTGGGCAAATCACTACTTGAAAAATCTTAGCATAAGTCATATGAAGTCTAATTAGTGGCACTATTTAGAGTTTATTGACAAACTTTTGATGTGAGTCAAATATTGATCGAATAATGTGAGGGATGCTATAAATCCCAAAAGAAAAATCACATATAGATATACACTTCGGCTCTAGATTTATAACTTCTTCTCATAGTTGCATATTAATAGGTTTTTTAAATTTGACCTCAATTTTGTTTACATGATGACTAGGGGTGTCAATATTTGACATGACCCAAAAATCTAACTCGAATCCGACCAAAAATTTCCAGTTAGGATCAACCCTTTTCACAAACAGGCTGGATTTGGGTTCCCGGATGTGACATGTTTGGAAAGACAAGTAGGGTTCAGGTTGACCTAGAAACCCAAACTCAACTCGGATTAACCCATTTGAAAAACATTTGTGAGTCACGTAGGCCACCCTGTCCACGTCGAGTGACCGCTGTCCTGACCCGTCTTGTCGCGTGAAGTGTACATGGAGCCATGGATAAGCCTATGACGATGCTGCCATTAATGGCGCTGACATGACCGTGGTCGTTGTGCCATGCTGTTATGATGCCATGCAGACCCATGCCTTGCCATTGTCGGTGCCGACCTGACAGCAGCGAGCTCCCATAGCCACAGTCGCCTGCATGCCACCCTGACCGGGATTGCTGACTCATCGTTGTTGTGTCGTCACATACTTGCACGCACATTTCTGAATCAAAATTTGACAGCGGGTCTGGTCGGGTCAAACCGACAACCCGCGCAGGTCAGGTCCAAGTTGAAATACCTTACTTGTATGCAAAAATGGGTTGGGTCAACTAATGTCGAGTTAGTTCTGGGTTGGACCCCAACCCAACTCGTGACCCAATTTTCATAACCCTGATGATGACTATAGATGATAAATAAGTTGAAGAGCTAATGTAATGAATTTAATTTCAATAAAAAAAAAAAAGTTGAAGAGCTGAATAAAAGTCTCTTAGTTGTTAAAAGAGGATGGTGCTCATGATTCCTTTGTACTTCAATTCCCATTTCCACTTTGCGAAAGAACTGTAGGAGGCTATTAGGCCATTTAATGATTATTTGGAATTCTTAATATTTCTTAAAAGTAAATTAATTATCATTAATTAAAATCACAATTATAATATGAGGTCACATTAGGCCAATCTACGAAATATGAAGGTAGATAGGACTAGTCTAGCTGTTTTCTTCTTCCCACTCTATTACATCAAATAACATAATAAATATTGAAGAAAATCTAGTATAATGAGGGCACTGCTTAAACCTTTCTCATGATACCTATTAGAATTTTGTGTGTAGAAGTTAGAGTTCTCCAACATAGCATCTTCATTTAGGCTTCATTTGGGATGACTTTTTTATTGCTTCTTAAAACAGATTTTAAATACAAAGATTAAAACTTTTGTACTAAAACTTTGTTTTAAGAAGCAATAAAAAAGCTATCCCAAACGAAGCCTTAGTCTAGCAGATGATCTAGGTTGCAAAGGTGTATATGACTTGAATATGTTATGATGAATTATATTTCCGCCCACATAAAGATGCTTGCTTATGTAAGAGTATATTTTGGTACTTTTATTAGCATAAATAGCCAAACTAAAAAAGAGAGATAGGTTGTACATCTTGGATTTGTTAAGTAGTCGAGGGAGGTATATAGGGGAGCAACTTTTATAGTGAAATTATCATCAAGGGAGTGATCATGAGGAATGGTAAAGGTCTTTTAGATTTGCTAATGAAGAGGTATCGATGTTGGTATATAACTTTCATAGTGAGATTATCAATATCAACATCACAAGATTTAGAATTTGTAGCCACCATTATTAAAATACTATCAAATTATAGTTAGATTTGTATTATGTTTTTAAGATAATTGCTTAGGATTCTAGAGCTTGATGGAAGGAAATCAATCAGCAATTTGTTGGAAGAAAGTATTGGTGCCGTTGAATTGAATTGGACCTATGGTATGAGATCCATTTTAAGTGGGG